AGACCACATTCCCTAAGGCAGCTACTCAGCTGCTCACAGTAGATTCCACCATGGAGTTGATTACCAGTCTCATCATGGGGAATACTACATCCAGGTGCCCAGCCACTCAACCAGGCCTAGCCAACTTGACACACAAACTTAACTAGCACAGTCCATTTTTGGTTTATATAGAGCCACCACCACCAAAAAACAAAACAAGTACATAAAACATTCTCTTTCTCTCCCTCTCCTTCTCTCTCTCCCTCTCTTTCTCTCTCTCTTTCTCTTACAAACACACCCCCCCAAGAGGCTGAAATGGAGCTACTCATCCTCCTTCCACAACCTTTCATCCTGACTAGAGCTGCCAGATTTAGAAAATAATAATTAGCAAATATTTTATCTGACAGCCCTACTCTAGGGCCAAATTCTCAATCAAGATTGGAAAGGCCAAACCTTTGCCAACATTTGAGCAATAAAATTTAATTTTCAACAACTACAAAATCTGCACCTCACCTGCCCTTCAACTTCTTTCTAGCTCTAATAATAAAAGCTTTAGTAACTATGGAAAATATCCCTTGGACTAAACCAAATTCAAAACTGCAACCATCTTCTCACCCAGAAGCAAAGGTTACTTCTGTCCGTTACTATGCTGGTAACTATGACAATAACAACTAACAACTTACATAGGATTATATATCATAAAACAACTTCACATAATCTCCTGACTCCCTCCACACACTTTGTAAACTAAGTATTAGTAGCTCCACTTTTCAGATTAGAAAATTGAGGCACAGAGACTAAATGACTTGACCAATCTCATAAAGCCACAGAAGACAATCTTCCAGTTAGAGCTCTACAATTCTTCTGTCTTCCTATTATACTACTGAAGAAGACCCTGTGCTGGCAGCCCTTTATCAGATGCTCCAGACTACCTCATTTTGCTTTCCGTTGTTGTTGTTGTTATGTGCCATCGAGTCAGCCCTGACTCATAGCAACCCCTCCCTGGGTTTCCGAGGCAGTATCACTACGGAAGTAGATTGTCCAACCTTCCTCTGAGGAGTGGCTGGTGGGTTTGAACCGCCAGCCTTCTGGTTAGCAGTCAAGTGCCTTAGGCACTACGCTACCAGAGCTCCTATTTTGCTTTCTATACACAATCAAAAGAACTTGGAAAATTTCCTGAATTACCTCCTTTACAAAGTTTTTCTACATCCATCAGCAAAGGACTAACGGCTTCCTGTGAATCTAAGAAAGATTCTCAATTTATTATGGAATTCTCAAAAATACTTTCACTTATTTTCACCCCTTTATGTATTTTCCCTGTGTATCCATAAAATGTGTATATGACTCAAATATTTTACCATTCTTTCTTATACTGTAGAATAGGTTTGGGGGTTAAGATGTTTCTATTATGTGTGTCTGCTTTATCTCAGGCTTTTATTACCATAGATTCTAGAAGACAGAAAACTGGGTAATTCCACCTGAAAGGCATTATGCTATGCAAATCTGACATTCAAATTTGACAAAAAAATATTAATACTTTATATTTGTATGCTTAATTATATTTTATGGAAGGCTTTGAAAAAATAATATCCTTTAATCTTCACAACAATCTGTAAAGACAGGACAAATATTATCATTCCTATTTTATAGATGACAAAACTGAAGGTCAAAGAGGTTGAATTTCACAGCAAAGTCAAAAGGCTGAGGAGTGACAAGACTGGAATCAGAACCTAGTCTTTCAACTTTTACTCCAATGTTCATAAAGCATGTGGTACAGCATCTAGCATATAGTAAGTGCTCAGTTAGGTCTGACTATTGTAATAAAGACAAATAGAGAAGAAATATACCCATAGGGGGGAAAAAAGTGACTAAACAAGTGGCAATAATCATCAAATCTGTGAAGAAAGGTAAAAGAGGCACATCCAATTGTAGAGGCTGCTAAGCCCAGGAGAGGATTCATAGTATAGGGCTCTTACTACTGATAAAGGAGCTCTGGTAGCA